ATATGGTGAAAACCTCCTGAGATTTGGAACGAAATGTTGGGTTTTTCTTTGTTTTTGACCCATGAGGAAAGCCCAAGTATTGAGCCCATTAAAAGTCTTCTTTGACTTTGTGTGTTTGGGAGCTAATAATAAAATATGGGTCAGTCACTATCTTACATTTGATGGACAGAATGAGAGCAGTAGATAAGAGCAAAAGTCACAAAACATGAGCTGAAATGCTCATCCCGTTTTTCCAGCAGGCAGCAGCAGAAAACATCCCTTTCCCGGAGATTGAACCGTTGGATCGTCGTGATTTTTGGACAGCAGCTTCACAGCATCTGAGCCAACATTCTGGACGGTGGAGATCGGGTTTTGAGGTCCAGAGGTCGGGTTTCGTTGGTCTGGACAGTAGCTATTTTTCTGGTGATATTTTTCTTATCTTGGCTCTATTTGATTCCATACACCTTGATGTGCTTACTTCCAAGGATATGATGAATGTGTATGCCTCTAGTATTATCTAGAGAAGACTTTGTACTGCTCCTTTGATGATGATAGTGGATTTAAGCGGCCAAAATGGTCCTGGGTTTTTCCCTAGTTAACGGGTTTTCCACGCTAAAATTCCGGTGTTTGTGTGTGGTGTGTGCTTACTGTTTTTAGCTGAATATATTGGTGTGTGGCAGCAACTTGTGTGTGTTCTAATTGCATTAAGAACACCCTATTTGTTTGCATCCTCAAAGATTCATTCAAGTTGGGGAAAGTTTAGCCAAACGGAGATTAATTCCGCATTTTATTAGTTCCGTTTGTGGCTGTTTTTCCCATCAAATTGGTATCAGAGCCGAGTTCTTCTGTATTGGGTTAGACTTGTTTGAATGATGGAAGCAAACACAAGCAGGATGATCAATTTGAATGGTTCTAATTATCATGTTTGGAAAGGCAAAATGGAAGACCTACTTTATGTGAAGGATTATTATTTGCCTGTGTTTACTACTGATAAACCTGAGAGTAAAACAGATGCAGAGTGGAATATTTTGCATAGACAGGTTTGTGGGTATATTCGCCAATGGGTTGATGATAATGTTTTGAACCATATTAGCGGGGAAACTCATGCTCGCAGTTTGTGGAACAAGCTTGAACAGTTGTATGCTCGAAAGACCGGGAACAATAAATTGTTCTTAATAAAACAGATGATGAGCTTGAAATACCATGATGGAACTCCTGTCACTGATCATTTGAATTCTTTTCAGGGAATCATAAATCAACTTGCAGGAATGGGTATCAAGTTTGAAGATGAGATACAAGGCTTGTGGCTCCTTGGCACTTTACCGGACTCATGGGAGACTTTTAGGACATCATTGTCCAACTCTGCACCAGATGGTATTATCACCATGGAATTAGCTAAAGGCAGTGTTTTAAATGAAGAGATGAGAAGAAAGTCACAAGGTTCCTCTTCACATTCTGATGTCTTAGTTACAGAAAGCAGGGGGAGAAGTCAGAGTAGAGGTCCAGGTAACAAAGGGAAGCATCGAAGTAAATCCAAAGGAAAATTTGCTGATTTTGAGTGTTATCATTGTGGTAGAAAAGGCCACACAATACGGTTCTGCAGGCAATTGAAAAAGGAGAAGAAGAAGAGCGATTACAACAATCAAAAGAACCATAAGAAAGATGAGGTGGGTAATGGCAATGTTGAAGTTAACACTACTACTGATGAGTTCCTTATTTGTTCTGATCTTGATATGGTCAACATTACACATGATGATTCCAGTTGGGTTGTTGATAGTGGTGCTACGTGCCATGTAACATCACAGAGGGATCTTTATTCATCTTACACTCCAGGTAACTTTGGTAATGTTAGGATGGGTAATAATGGACTATCAAAGATTGCAGGCATTGGAGATATTTGTTTGAAGTTTGACACTGGGATAGAGTTGGTTTTACATAATGTAAAACATGTTCCAGATATGAGACTTAATTTGATCTCCGCAGGCTTACTTGATGATGATGGTTACAGCAACAACTTTGGTAATGGAATATGGAAACTCACTCGTGGTTCTTTGATCGTGGCTAGAGGTAAAAGATGCTCAAAGTTGTACATGACACATCCGAAGATCTTCAAGGATAGGGTCAATGCTGTGGTGAACACTGACATGACTGATTTATGGCATAAGAGACTTGGTCACATGAGTGAAAAAGGGATGTCTCTTTTGTTGAAGAGAAATGTGTTACCGGGTGTGCATGATATTCATCTAAAGAAGTGTTCTCACTGTTTGGCAGGTAAACAGAACAGGGTTTCCTTTAAGAGCCATCCTCCTTCCAGGAAGGAGAGTATACTTGATTTGGTGCATTCTGATGTTTGTGGTCCTATGAAGACTATGACACTTGGTGGTTGCTCCTACTTTGTCACATTCATTGATGATCACTCCAGAAAGGTATGGGTTTATACCTTGAAATCTAAAGATCAAGTATTTGAGGTGTTTAAGCAGTTTCATGCCTCGGTTGAGAGACAGACTGGAAAGAAGCTCAAGTGTATTCGGACAGATAATGGAGAGGAATACATTGGCCCCTTTGATGCTTATTGTAGAGACCATTGTATTCGACATCAAAAGAGTCCTCCCAAGACACCGCAGTTGAACGGATTAGCAGAGCGGATGAACAGAACTTTGATGGAGCGTGTCAGATGTTTGTTGTCACATGCAGGGCTGCCAAATTCATTCTGGGGAGAAGCTTTGAATACAGCGGTACATGTTATTAATCTAACTCCTTGTGTTCCTTTGTCTTTTGATGTACCTGACAGGGTTTGGAGTGGCAAAGATGTTTCTTACCGTCATTTGAGGGTCTTTGGATGCAAAGCTTTTGTGCACATTCCTAAAGATGAAAGAGCAAAGCTTGATGTGAAGTCCAAACCATGTGTTTTCTTGGGTTATGGCCAAGATGAGTTTGGTTACAGATTATATGATCCAGTCCATAAGAAACTTATTCGAAGCCGAGATGTTGTGTTTGTGGAAGATCAGACCTTGAAAGATGCTGAGAAGAAAGATACAGTTCCTCAACATAATGATGATGTTACTGATTTGGATCCAGTGCCTCCTCAGCATGTAGAACCACCTCTTGATAATGATGTTCAGAATGATGAACAACATGATACTGATGCTCCAGAACAGCTAGAGGTGGATGAAGAATTTCATTCAGAGATACCAGTACCAGACGTGCCACCATTTATCCCACTTAGGCGGTCTACAAGAGATCGTCATCCTTCCACCCGTTTTCACCTAATGAGTATGTCTTACTCACTGATGGGGAGAGCCTGAGTGTTATGCAGAGGCCATGGAAGATGAGCACAAAAGGGAATGGGTTGAAGCCATGCAAGATGAGATGAATTCCTTACATGAAAATAATACATTTGAGTTGGTGAAGTTGCCTAAAGGCAAGAGAGCTTTGAAGAACAAGTGGGTCTACAAAGTGAAGACTGAAGAGCACACCTCACAACCTAGGTACAAGGCTAGATTGGTGGTCAAAGGGTTCAGTCAGAGAAAGGGTATTGATTTTGATGAGATTTTCTCTCCGGTTGTGAAGATGGGATCTATTCGTGTTGTTCTGGGTTTGGCAGCCAGCCTTGATCTCGAGGTTGAACAGATGGATGTCAAAACAGCTTTTCTTCATGGTGACTTGGATAAAGAAATCTACATGGAGCAACTTGAAGGGTTTCAGGTTAAGGGAAAAGAAGGTTATGTGTGTAGACTTCAAAAGAGTCTTTATGGGTTGAAGCAAGCACCAAGACAGTGGTACAAGAAGTTTGAGTCAGTTATGGGGGAGCAAAATTACCGAAAGACTACTTCAGACCATTGTGTTTTCTTCCAGAGGTTTGGTGATGATGATTTCATCATTTTATTGTTATATGTTGATGACATGTTAATTGTTGGCAAGAATGCAGAAAGAATTACTCAGCTGAAGATGCAATTGAGCAAGTCTTTTGCTATGAAAGACTTGGGGCCAGCAAAACAGATTCTTGGCATTCGGATAACTCGAGATAGAGCTTTGAAGAAGCTACACATGTCACAGGAGCAATACATTGAGAAGGTGCTTCGCAGATTCAACATGGACAAAGCTAAAGAGGTTAGTTCACCTCTTACTACCAACTTCAGGTTGACAGATAAAGATTGTCCATCTTCTGAGAAGAAGATTGAAGAGATGGATAAAGTTCCTTATGCCTCAGCTGTAGGGAGCTTGATGTATGCTATGGTGTGCACACGACCTGATATTGCCCATGCAGTAGGTGTTGTTAGTCGGTTTCTGTCAAATCCAGGTAAGAAGCATTGGGAAGCAGTGAAGTGGATTCTCAGATATCTACGTGGTACTTCCAAATTGGGTATAACATTTGGAAATGGGGAGCCAGTACTTGTTGGTTATACTGATTCTGATATGGCAGGAAATAAGGACAACATGAAATCCACTTCTGGATATTTGATGACTTTTGCAGGGGGAGCTGTGTCATGGCAATCGAGACTGCAAAAGTGTGTGGTTTTATCCACCACCGAGGCTGAGTATGTGGCTGCAACAGAAGCATGCAAGGAGCTATTGTGGCTCAAAAGATTTATGCAAGAGATTGGCTTTATGCAACAACGTTATGTGGTTCTTTGTGATAATCAAAGTACCATTCACCTTGCTAAAAATTCTATGTTTCACAAACGAACCAAACATATTGATGTGAGGTATCATTGGATTAGAGATGCACTTGAAGACAAACTGTTTGAACTTGATAAAGTTCATACCGATGATAATGGTGCTGATATGTTGACGAAGTTTCTAGCAAGGGAAAAGTTGAAGGTATGTTGCTCCATCGCCGGTATGGCGAACTCTTCCTCATAAGTCAAAAAGGGGGAGATTTGTTGGGTTTTTCTTTGTTTTTGACCCATGAGGAAAGCCCAAGTATTGAGCCCATTAAAAGTCTTCTTTGACTTTGTGTGTTTGGGAGCTAATAATAAAATATGGGTCAGCCACTATCTTACATTTGATGGACAGAATGAGAGCAGTAGATAAGAGCAAAAGTCACAAAACATGAGCTGAAATGCTCATCCCGTTTTTCCAGCAGGCAGCAGCAGAAAACATCCCTTTCCCGGAGATTGAACCGTTGGATCGTCGTGATTTTTGGACAGCAGCTTCACAGCATCTGAGCCAACATTCTGGACGGTGGAGATCGGGTTTTGAGGTCCGGAGGTCGGGTTTCGTTGGTCTGGACAGTAGCTATTTTTCTGGTGATATTTTTCTTATCTTGGCTCTATTTGATTCCATACACCTTGATGTGCTTACTTCCAAGGATATGATGAATGTGTATGCCTCTAGTATTATCTAGAGAAGACTTTGTACTGCTCCTTTGATGATGATAGTGGATTTAAGTGGCCAAAATGGTCCCGTGGTTTTTCCCTAGTTAACGGGTTTTCCACGCTAAAATTCCGGTGTTTGTGTGTGGTGTGTGCTTACTGTTTTTAGCTGAATATATTGGTGTGTGGCAGCAACTTGTGTGTGTTCTAATTGCATTAAGAACACCCTATTTGTTTGCATCCTCAAAGATTCATTCAAGTTGGGGAAAGTTTAGCCAAACGGAGATTAATTCCGCATTTTATTAGTTCCGTTTGTGGCTGTTTTTCCCATCACGAAAGTAGCGTATATAGAATATCGATGTAAATTTACAAGAAAGAGTAGGAAGCAAAACCTGGTCTTTTTTGTTCGGATGAATAATGAAGCCATAAACACAATAGAATTCAATTGGTGGTAGAATATTAAGCAAACCTCCAAACTCGGTTTTTGACCATTTTTGGGTTTTCACTTAACCAGACTAGGTTTTGGTCCGAATCACCAGGTTCCATGTCAGTTTTTTAAGCATAGGTATTTAGTAAAAAATTGATTGATAAGATTAAGAAATCGAAAATTTAAGTAAAAGGTTGAAAAATAATTTCTGACTATTTGCAAACACTCTCTAACTTCGTTTTATGTACTTTGTTGATTGCAATTCATTCGACTTCTCATGATTAGCTAATTGTTTCACTTTACTCATATTAGACTATTCAACTATTCACATTTGAATTTTTCAGTTTTTTTTGGCATTTTTCGTTAATTTCGTTCTTCAACTTTTTTATCAATAGATTTCAGATCTGAATAGGAAATTCCAAGAGTTTTTTTTATTTAAAACAAAATTGTTTTGTGCCCATACACATCATAATCTTAGGACGTTTTGTAATGGTGCTCATTATCTGAATGTTCAATCTTAAACCAAACATGGGTTCATAATATCCTGGAGCATAAAAGATCAAATGCAATTTGATCTATCTTGATTGTTGTGTGAAATTGTGTTTCTGAATTCATTCGTTATTTGGTTTATTGATCAAATATAGTCTCTTATGGTCGACACTAGTATGTCAAGTTTCTTGGCTCCTGTGACCATTTTTTTAGAGAACTTTCCCCTTTGACATTGGATATCAACTTCCCTTATACATGAAAACCCCTAGATATTTTCTAGAAACGGGTGGATATTAGGTTTCACCTTATAGGTCAACATAATAGGAAAAATAACTCGTGATCTTAATATAACATTTTTTTATACTCTACCGGTGTAGGACTTCAATACCCCTACTCACGAGTCACGATCTGATATTTTGTCTAAATGATACAATTATTAAAAAATGACAATGATGAACCAATGTAATTTTAACTTTATTTAAAAATAAATATTTAATTATTAAGTTGACACAAATGTTAACATGTCAAGTACTAACAATAATCCTATCCTATATACCTAATGGGAGAATCCCTCCCCAAATCTTTTCCTGCTTCTTTCACCAGATTTACTCCGTATTTACTACCTTTTTCCGTTCTTCTCCGATTACTCCCCAACAACCAGGCTTGAGGTACACATTTTTGTACACACACTTACACACTCGTATCTGTGGAGTGTTTTGTTTTGTCTGTATACAGACACAACTTATTTCACAGACACTTCAAATGTGTTGTGTCTGTATACAGACAAAAAAACACTTCACAGACATAATTGTGGAAGTGTGTACAAAAAATGTGTAACAATAGTTTTTTGAAGTATACACCAACCAAAGGACATAACTCTGCAATTATCCTTTGCAATGAACGATTCCTTCCGTTTTTTTGCAGCCAGCCACAATTCAACAGACTTAACTCAGTAATTTTCCTTTGCAATCAACGATTCCTCCCATCTTTCTTTCTACATCCAGCGCAGTGGACTCCATCGTGCTTTGGCAAATTGGTCTTCAAAAGGTATTTCAGTTTCAGTTTCTCTTCCACTCTATCCCACATCTGGATTTTAACCTTATAATCAGCAAACCCTTCTCTCATCTGCGCTTTTCCTCCCGATAAAAGCTTCAGCTTGAATAACAGGTCTTTTTCTTGATATACTCATGTACAAATTCTTGCAAGTCTTTTATTACTTCAAATTGAATAAAGCCATGCCAATTACAGTTTCATCTCATGGGTTTGGTAAGGAGATTGTAGATGAAGGCTTGGACTTTAAGGAGATTGCATATGTATTGTTTGATAAAATGCTTAGATGGAGAAAATAAATTGGGAACTTTCTGTGTGATAAGGAATATCTTTCCACCCATTTGAGGTGATCTTCATTCAAATTAGCTTCTCTGAATTTCTCAAACTGCATAGTCTTTTCTTTCCTTGAATTTTATAATCTAAATTCTGTTGAATTCTCTCTCATTTTTTATTTCAATTGTCTTTTTCTTTAGAATAATGAATTTGATAGATAAATTTAGGGTTCCTTCTTTTGTTCTCTTCAATAAATAAAATTAGTGGGGATTTTATTAATCGCCCATCAAATTTGCGCATGTAATATCTATATTCCAAATTATATAAAGGGTTTTTTAAAGAATATTACTAAAATAAAACATATTTACATAAATATGACTATTCATTACTACAATGTGGTGTTGTGGTGACTTAAGCTCAAAACTTGAACATGAATTACTATGATTTCATTACTACTCTAGTCACTAGTCATATTTTTGTAAATCATTTTTATTTTGATCATATTTATGTAATTGTTTCTTATATAAAAGTTATGTTAGTAACATATTCATATGTTTTTTTTTTCAAAAATGTAATTTTATTGTGTAAAGTGCATCATGTAAAATACAAAAAACATTTATGAGAATGCAATCAAAACTAAATTGTATCGGATGTAATATTATTTATTTCACAAATTAAAATTTAGGATGTTAATTGCATCTTAACAAAATTTTGAGTACTTTAAATTATATATTTATTCAATAAACTTATATTTGTAAAAAAACATACAATCATGGTTGAAAATATTTTTTTAGATAATGTTCCAAGTATATATATTACATATGTGAGTTTGGGTTCTTATCTTACACCTCATCAAAGTTTGTGATATTTATATTATTTTTCTCTTAAATAAACAATTTTAACAATTGTGAACTGCATCCCGAGCAACGCACGGGTGAAAATTCCAGTACGGAGTAAAAATTGTTAGGCCAAAAAATTTTTCTTTGTAGGGTAATTCTATTCACACTCTCCAAATTACCCGCACCCACTTAATCACCAATTTTCTACTCCACGGAACATCGTACATACAGCAGAAACACAACATCCACAACATACTCCGAATTCAATACTTCAAAATGATAATATATGCATTTTCAGATTCTTCTACACCGTGACATCCCAAGATGATGATATTTCCTCACCCCTAGAATTGGTCTCATGCACCTCTTATGGTGGAAAGAAGTTCACAATAGCCTTTTAAACAACAAATTAATTGAGCATCTAGTAGCCCAGACACTTCCATGACACTTCCATATGTTGATATTTCTCAAAACCAATTGCTGATGGCCCGATTCGCAACTGCAATCGTTATTATCTCTGCCCACCGGAATTGATGGCTAGAATATCCCTGAACTCAACTAGCTTCATCCGCTGCCACAATCAGACCGTTCGCCCAAGACATCTTGGCAGTAAATCAATTAACGAAAAGTGCAAAGGCTGGAACAATTTTCACCATGGACTTGTCATTTAAAGCTAGAGATGGCAATTTCGGCCGAGCCGTTGGATACCCGCACTGAATCGATTTGGTCAAAATGGGGGAAACCGGTTTGACTGGGGAACAGGTACAGAGTAGGGAATACCCGATTTTTTTAAATGGATAATGGTGCAGTTATGGTTCTATACTAATCCGCCCTGTTATCCGCCCCGAAACCGCCCCATAACATTATTAATAAATTCTAACTCTTCATATATAAGAATAATAATAAGTATATGTGCTAAATCGTGTACACTAAATTGTATATATCGTATAAGTAAATAAAGAATAATACACCATAGGCCCAAAACTTTTGTTGCGAAGGATTAATACTTTTTGAAGTGTTGAATGTTAATTTGATGGTGTGATCAATTTAGGCCTAAAACTGTTTTTTGTGAAGGATTACTACTTTTTTAGGCCTAAAACTAAATTTAGGCCTAAACCAATTTTTTGAATTTAGATTCTAGGATGATAACTACTTTTTTATTATGATACAAAAGATATTTGGTACTTGTCATGCATACTAATGAATTTAGGACTAAAATTGATTGATTGCTTGAATATTTACTTTTGTATGTTTTATGGTCATTTGAATATATAATTTACTACAAAGAATGTTTACGTTAACAAGTATGATTAGAAATTGGTAATTTTGGTATCATTTGGGCAAACGGTTACCCGTGGATAAACCGATTCCCCATTGGGGCGGGTACGGTTCAGATAAAAATTACCCGAACGGGGAATGGGGCGGTTTCGGGGCAAACAATTTATCCAACAGGGCGGTTTCGGTTTTATGTGTACCTGTCCCCGATCCGCCCCGTTGTCATCCCTATTTAAAGTCTATCAGTTTTTGTTGTCTTCATCGTCAATTTGATAACATTTCTTGAGATTGGAAACCCAACAGCTAACAGGACAGGTATAGGACAGGTATTGCATACAGGGGCAGATCTGCTTTGTTCGTGAACACCCAAAATTTATAAAAAAAAACAATACAAAAATACATGCTAATAATTCATGTAATTTTTTTTTCTATGTAATATCTTAGTGGTAAAATAATTGTGAACATCCAAAATCTAGTTGCAAGATCCGCCACTGATTGTAGAGAGGAAGTGGTTGTGGAGAGGGGTTTGACACTATTAATTGTATGGGCTGTATACGATAAGATCAGGGGCATACTAGGAATTATAAAATGATTTTTTAACAAGTGGCTGTATTTAGGGAGTGTTTGTGATTGCTTCTAATTTAAAAAAGTGATTTTGAAGAAAATACTTATATTTAATCACTAGTATATAAATATATTAGATAAATTATATGCCCTCTGCCTTTCGTCACCGCTTAAGTTTTTTACTTGTCTCTTTAACATTCAAGGTAAAACTTCTCATTTTTTTTAGAAGTAATTAGCACTCTCAAATGATAGACTAATCATCAAATATTAAAATAAAACACATATAACATCACATATATCATCATTGACCTCATTATTTTCATCATAAACATTTATCAAAATTCAAAATATATTGTAGTTACCTAATTTAATTATTGTCTACATAAACGTGTCATTTCTGAACAAGAAGTTTTTTCTTATGTTTTGTTCTCATTTACTTACTGTTAGTATAAAATCTAACTTTCAGTGGGTGCATTTTTAAATCTGAACCAGTGTCTTTGTTCAATTGTTGGTAATAGTTTTCATTTCGTAGCTTAAAATGGTACTAGTATTAAGTATGCTAACAGTTTAGTTTTTTCTGATCACTTACTGCATTATATCCTAAACTATCTTTTGATCAAATATTTAGTGAAATATATAAATATAGATAGGAGCAAAGAAAAAAAGGAATTGGGAGGGTCAGTGGCTTTTCGTATATATAATATAATACTTTATTTTACTTTGCATGAAGGAGCATGACGACCCAATTGTGATTAGGAGAGTCAATCTCATGTATCAACTCCTTGGATGAGGATGAAGAAATTTAGCATGGAGCTCTTCCCATTTTACAAGGTTTTTGAGTGTGGTTCTCTTGTAAAGCCCTGGCCTTTGCAAATCGGAGGATCTAATACACAACCAGCAGGTAATCAACGACTTAAGAGCAGTCTAGTAGAAATCTCAGTGACTACTCCTGCCACACCGTATAAGAAATCATTTTGTGAATGGCTAGCTGGAATTATTGATGGCAGTGGAAGTCTTCAGGTGCTTAAGAAAGGAAAAACATCTCTTGAAATTACTATGGGACTTGAAGATGTAGCACTACTACGACATGTCCAACATACGCTTGGTGGAAGTATTAAAATGCGGTCCGGTGCTAAATCTTATCGCTATAGATTAATTCATCACCTTGGCATGATTAAATTAATGAATTGTATTAATGGCCATATTCGTAAATCTGCACGACTAGCACAGCTGCATCGTATCTGTCAAGAGCATGAGATTCCTGTAATTGTGCCCATCACATTAGATGCTCAATCAAATTGGTTTGGAGGATTCTTTGATACTAATGGTAGCATTGACATTATTATGAAGAATGAGTTGCCCCAGCTCAGTATTCGAGTAACTAGCAAACTGTTGCAAGACGTGGAGCCTTACAAGGCCATTTTTGGTGGAGATGTGTACTTTGATAGTGGTCGAAATGGTTTCTATGAATGGTCTGTGCAGAGTCCTGAAGACGTTTTATCATTTTTTGGTTACTTCAAAACAAGTACTTTGAGAAGTCAGAAATCAAGACGATTCTTTCTAATAGATGAATATTATCATCTCTATGATCTCAAAGCATTTGAACCTTCCAGTATGAACCATAAGGCATGGTTAGCTTTCCTAAAGAAATGGAACAACTTGGGTGAGTAGCTCATCTTTGTTTTTATTAATAATTTATTGTATTGCTTGGTATTGCTCTGGAGCCAATTTTCTGGCAGCTAGGTAGAGTTACTGGGAAAATAGATTGGAGAATGTGATTACTAATATAAGCTTCTCTATTAATCAATCTGCTCTTTCTTTAAAGTGGCTTTGGTGAGTATAAAGGCTCAGATTGACATTGTGACTGCAGTGTTCTAGGTTTTGATAATGAGATTGTTCTTTACACTGAAGAGTTTATTGGACTTTTGAGGAGTGATTCTGTATATGATTTCTGTGATGCTATTTCACGGATACATGCAAGCAGTGTCAAGTACATATGCAGGTTATAATCTGGGAATATGTGACATCCGAATTGAGAGCATTAAACCTTACTGTGTTTGTGTTGGCAATATCCTGAAGTCTGCTCTCAATTGATCTACTCCTCAAGCATCTGCAATGTCCTGTTTGCTTGAAAACGGTAATATTGTCTCCGCTTTAACCTGTTTTAAAATGTTATACATAATCAACCTATCTTCATTTTTTTATGTTTAAAAGTGTTCTGTACTCAAACAAATAATTGTGTCAAGGAACCTTATGTGGTTATGATGATTTGCCCAAGTCCTTTTATTGGAGTCATGGTTTGATCTTTTTAGCTTCATCTTTTTTTCTCTTCATCCTAAATACTCCCTCCGTCCCATTTATATTGTCCCGTTTTACCTTTTCGGAAAGTCTCACTTAAATTGTCTCATACCATATTTGGCAAAGTTTGTGTGGCTCTAAATCATTCTTACTTTATTCTTACTTTATCAATTAATATAAACCACACAAACCCACTTTTCTTAATAACCGTGTCACCCTCTTCCCTCCCAATATAAATGGGACGGAGGTAGTAGCTGTTATAAGATGGCAACGTAATTGAATTTACTTCTTGGTTGATTTTCCTAGGGAGCTTGCGGTGTTTGATTTGCAGTTTTACAAGAGGGCAGGCCAAACACTATTTCTGCAATGGAAGGCTATTTTGCTTATCTGCTGTTTATGATAACTGTAAGTTTTGGGAACTTTGGGTCAGAAACATTGGAATATGCCAGAAAGAGTTGCTTTTGTCATCGTGTTCTTGGGTTGGGGATATCTCTGGGTCGTACATATATCAGCTCATATCTTATGTGTTGGGCTGAGTTGGACATTGTCGGGGTAATGTCCCTATATGTAATTAAATAAATAAATAAATAAATAAATAAATAAATGTGTGCATATATTAAAATTAATTTGGACATTTCATACTTAATATTAGTTGGTTCCATCTTAAAATTATTGCTTCTACAGAGGTGATGGATTCTCAGTCTGGTTCGAGGGTGAACGGCAGACATAAGGCTTTTTATCATTTTGTTTACTTCTCTTTCTTTGATTGTATTATCAGCCATGTGACGAACGTTATTTTGATTTAATATATTAGTTGGATTTGATGATAAAAAAACAATACAATGATACTATTTATAACGAGGTATTAGAAAAAAGATATACTCCCTCCGTCCCTAATAACTTTGTCAAATTTGACCGGCAAGAAGATTAATAAAGTAAAAACTGTGTGGTTGAGATTTGTACAAAGAAGAGAGAATTAATTGGAGCCACAAATTTTTTACTTAAATGGGAAGTGACAAAGTTAATGAGACATCTAAAAAGAGAAAGTTGACAAAGTTATAAGGGACGGGGGGAGTATTATGTATATATCAGTGATTGCCTAAAAAAACTTTTGTCCCGCAATTAAGTTATTGGTTTGACTTCACACATATTATGAAAATAAATTTGACTTTACAGTGGACTTCACTGTTTAAACACTGTTTTGATGCAGATAATTTGCTAAATAAAGAAAGTACTGAAGTGTGAACTTAATTTAGGGACTGCCCAAAAAGGAAAATGGGAACTTAATTGCAGGACGGAGGGAGTATATCTTACTTATCATCAATCAAATTAAAGTTTGAAGAATACAAAATAACTGAGGAAGGATCACACTGCTAAATCTGACATAGAAACGATTGCCCTTGTTAGATTGTGGGTAATAGCTTAGGATTAGCATACACAAAGCTTCTGCTTACAGAGGTAGTACGAGTAGGGTTGGACTCGGGCCGGGTGGCCCGACCCGGAACCGGCACTGTTCCGGCCCGGCCCGGCCCAGTGGCTCGGTCAGTGACCGGTTCGGGTAGGCCCGACCTGCTGGGGTTCTGGTCCGGGCTCGGGCCCCTCAAAATGTGAACCGGCCTGGCCGGTTCGGGCCCGGTCCGGCCCGGTCCGGGCCATTTTATTTCTTTTTCTTTTGTTTTTTGAATTTTTCTTAAGTTTTTGGGTTGGGCGGGGTATTTTGATCATTTGAGATGGTTTGGGATGGTTTGGGGGTGAGGGGGGTGGTTAGGGGTTAATTAGGAAAAGGCAAAAAAAAAATTGAATCGAGGCCCGGCCCGGACCCGGGAGTTACCCGGGCCGGTTCCGAGCCTCCCCTTTCCTGAACCGAGGCCTGGCTGGGCCCAGGCCCGAACCGGGCCTGAACCGGCCTGGGTCCATGCCTAAGTACGAGCTCCTCCATGCTTGTAATTTATTTTCCTAAATCTGTCCATCTGCCCTATTATTGCCGTACATAATTTTGTTGAAAGGGAAGGAATGATGCCAATGCTAAGAAAAATCGAATTTTGGAAGCCAACGTGTAGGCAAACCCAACAGAGCATGACTTGGATTTCCATAAATGCCGGTGTCTAAGCCAATGAACCCTACAATCCATAGGTCTCTCACTGCCACTGATCAACTCTAGTAGTAATAAAAATACATTTCCCAAGTTTTTTTTTAGTTTAGGTAAGTTGAAGCAAATAATTATTTCATACAACCATAATGATCACTTCTAAGTAAATTTGAAAATGGATTTTATGTATTGATTAAACTTAAATGAGATTGGGTTAGTTTAATAGGTCAACCAGACTATTTTGTAGTCTGTATGTATCAGTATGATATAATAATAAGGATATATATGAATTTATCAGTATTAGTATGATTTACATCTCTCAAAGTTTAGGGTAAGTTCTTGAATTTGAGATCACCCGGTGTTAACAAAAAATGTAAGCCTTTTTTATTTTTTCTATATTTCCACGGCTGACTAATGAACAACACATCTTACACTCTATCTATTTCATCACTTTAATTTGTTCAACTCTCTTTTATTAAAAAATGTTATTTTATGTTCTAATTGTATTTTCTTTTATTGAGCAACACCCTGGTCTTCTCTCATGTTCTTTTATTAACTGCCTATACAATTCTAGAATGTTATTATGTCATCCAATTATCCATTTTAACAATGAGCAACTACCCTAGTATTGCAATCCATTTTAGCCTACACTACGCATTGGCCACATTATCATTTTGTTGGTATGCGTTATTTTAGGAGTTGCCAGCTTCCTTATTATTTCCTTGTTAGATATGCCAAACTTTGAGAATTGGCACTTGAATTGTAGATATTTTGTTACCTTTGTGTACTGATTGAGTGTTTCCCATGTGTACTGCCTTCTTTTTGTCAATAAATCAATCCATTATTTTTAGAGAGAACAGTAGTTGTCTGTCTTTCTACGGTAGCTTTGTGCAATCATCTATCTGCTCCCTTAATTTTGTGCTAGTTTTACATACTTCTCTTCATGACACTCTGAATCTTTTTACTTGGACTATAATTCGTCCCAGACCAGATCAGACCAGACCAGACTTGGATAGTTATAAAAATACAAAGAAACCAAACCAGGCCAGACTAGACCAGCAAATTACAGTCCAAGTAAAAACATCCTATGAGAGTGAATGACAGGAAAAAAAGTGTATGTAAGAGTGAACAAAAATGGGACCATTAAATTTCGACGATCACTTCCCATCCTCAACAAAGTTTTACAGTGTTTGTGGGAACTTAGGAAAAGTGCTTTTCAATTTTTGACTTAAAAATTGAAATTAGTGTTTTCAAGTGACAATTTGATTAAGTTAAGCTCTTAAAAGATGAAAACAAATGAATGGTTATTTTTATTGTATTTCACTTTTTGTATTGCACAAAAAGTATTTTTTTGTCGAACACCACCAATTTTTACTTTATAAAATCATTGTTTATTCAAACATTATCAACTTCTACTATTAATAGTAACTTATTGGAGTTATGCGGACAAATTGTCGAATTGTAGAGCCTATTGATTTTCTCATAGGTTTACAAGTTTTATTCTCTTTTTTCTGCTGCTCTACGCACGGGTAGCTCAATTGGTTGAATGATTTGAGAGTTGGAAGAATGACTATGGTTCAAAACCACAACGAACGTGTGGGGATTAAGCTCTTGTGTGTTGAGCTGGATCTCTGATTGCACGAGTAATATATGATCTATCACCGTTGAATTGACAGAGTCACCGTGATTTATAACTCTCATATGTCAATATGTCATGTTGGATCAAGGCATGGGGAGCCTTAGGTTATGAATTCAACTCTTTTTAGAGGAATCTATGAAATCTTAGAAAATTTGATTCGGCCATAAAGCAATCAAAAAATACTACTCCATCCGATTCAAAAACAAGTTCCACATTTGACTTCACACATATTAAGAAAAAAAAATTGACTTTACTGTGAAGTGCACTGTTTGACACTGTTTGACACTGTTTTGATGTAGATAATTTGCCAAATAAGGAAAGGTTTGAAAGTGGAACTTAATTTTGGAATTGCCCGAAAAGAAAAGGTGAAACTTGTTTTTGAATCGGAGGGAGTACATTTGTTCACGCATATCTTCCGGTCAACGTAATTTGTTCTTGATCTTTTACCTTATGTACCTAACATATCAAATATGGGTTTTGTAGAACTTTGCAAAATTTTTAATGTAGTATCTGAAAAGGGAATATGTAATTTTTATTTACTAGAATTATTCTTTATTATATATCATTTTAATTTAGGAAAAATTGAAAATAATAATCTCAACTATTGCCGGTCCGCTGATAATAATCTCAATTATTGATTATTTTTGTATAATCCCAACTATATGGATTGTCCGCCAATAACGGTTCATGACCAGATATTACCTCCTATAACAAGTGAATTTTAAATAGAAATTGAGCGTAAAAATTAAAAATTAGGATTATTTATAGGGATTACTGGCTATATTTCTTCTCATTTGCTTTAGAAACTACATAAATTTATTTACATGGACCATTATTGGCGGAAGGTCCTTAAAGTTGGGATTATTCTGAAATAATCGATAGTTGGAATTATTATGAACGGACTACCAATAATTGAGATTATTACTATCAATTTTTCCTTTAATTTATTATGATCAGATATCATAAGGTGTATGGAGAATTTTTAAATGGAATGCAGTACATCATAATAATTGATTAATAGTTATTCTAAAAGATGGAATCTCCCACCCCATTAGCCCTCACACCCTGACCCGAAAGAATGGTGAAAAGTAGTAAATCACGGTAACTCTGTCAGTCTAATGGTGGTAGATCTTATATCCGTGCGCACCAGAGATCCAACCTGGTACGCAGAAGTGGCAACCTCTACACGATTATTGCGAGTTTCGAATCTTGATTATTGTTCCAATTTCCTAGCACTCAATCAATTGAGCTACCCGTGTAACGTAGGTAATAATTAATTACTCCGTAATACATAAGTACTACTAGCACAGTAGCACCTAGGGATTGTGAATTAGGTTCAAGCGGTCAGGCCTAAAAAGTGAAAGGGTCATCACTGATGGTGAAGTTTATACATAAAATAATTCCATGCAGCAATAAAGATACATGATTGGAGAGTCAGGATAGTACATTTTTTAAAGTTTTCAGTAATGTATGACGTGTCAACATTCATTCAACATTTCCTGAAAAGGATACCCAATATGCCAATTTGTTAAGAGAAATTTTTTGAATATAATCACAATTATTACCATAGTATTTAAAATCAATCTTATACGGAGTGTGTATGTTACAAAAACACTTCCAAATTCCAATTATGTCCAGCGCTACCAATTGAAATTCAGATACGGGGTATATCTTTTCTACTACGTAAAACTTTGTCAAACTTATTGAAAAATTGTGGTAGTTGGTAAAGACATAAGTACTCCCTCCATCCCTCAAAATACTTTCAACTTTCCATTTTCGTCCGTCCCTAAAAGAATTTCACTTTCCCTTTTTGACAAAAAATTTGTGATTCACAGCATTTCTCTCCCCTCTGCACAACTATCCACCACACAATTCTCACTTTCTTAATCCGTGTGTCACTTTATTTTGGAAGTAAATTCAAGAACGGAGGTAGTATAAAATGGAGCCTAAGTATAACTAACTACCTCCGTCGTTCCTCCTTTAATTTATTCAAAGGTTTATTAACTTTAACTTTTGTGAGTTTCTCTTGAACTTTGAACAGTGCTATTTATGAGTGTAGTTTGGTGAAAACTCTAAATTTTAATTCTTTAAGAGTATTTACAACAACTAAATTGTATAAACCAATTTGTATAAAAGGATGTTATTCTTAGGTGGCATAAACTAAAATTGGCAAATCTTTTAAGAAGGGGTGGCATAAATATCTTATTCTTGCATTTAAGAATATCAAACAAATTTGGCTTGGATTTTCTTTAAGGGGGTGTTTGGTTAATGGCCTATCAGTCATTTTTTTGCCGATTTGACCACTATTGCTTTTTTACCAAATAATCACCTAATTATAATGTTTGGTTACATGACTTTTAAGTTTGACTTCTGGTCTCAAATAGCCAAAATATGAAAAGTCATTAATCCTAGCTTTTACGGTCGGCTGTTTTGTATATTCCCATGTTGTCCCTTTTCTTTTTCCTACGCGCTCTTAGTTGTCACTAGTGGTGGCCTCGAGCCGGTTCGGGCACGGGCCGGGCCTAGGCTTGACCGGGCCACCGGTTAGGAAATGTTGGGCCCAGGACCGGACCGGGTAGCCACTGGGTCCGGGCCGAGCCTCGCTGCCTCGGGCCTCATACATATTTTTTTTTTCCTTTTTCTAATTACCGCCCGACCCCCCCCTAACCCCCAACCCCCAAACCACCCCAAATGGCCCAAAATACCCGGCCCAACCCGGGGATTTAAAAAAAAATGAAAAAAAAAAGTCCAAAACCGGGCCCGGGCCGGCTGAGCCAGTTCATGTTTTGGGTGACCCGAACCCAGACCGGAAACCCCTCGGGTCGGGCCTACCCTGACCGGTCCACCGGGTCGGGCTGGGCCGGAACAGTGCCGGTCCCGGGCCAGTTCTGGGTCGGGCCACCCGGCCCAAGTCCACGACGAGTTGTCACCGAACAAAAACCAAGTTGCTAAGGCCAAGAAGAAAACTTCCGTCCATAATCCCTATGGGGGTGTTTGGCAAATGGCCGTTGGCTGTTGGGTGTTGGCCGATTGTGTTGGCTGATACTGATAGCGGATTCTGTTGACTGTTTTGATTGGCTGATAGTATTAGCAGTTTGTAAAATGATGTTTGGTTAAATGGTTATTTAAAATTGGCTGATAAGTAGTCAAATGACTTTTAAGGACATCAATTATTTTTTATTAATGTTAAGTCGTATAAGTAGAGCCACTTAATAAAACAGGTTTAATTTATGATTTTAAAATAAGAAGTTTATGAACACGGTTATAGGCGTGGAGCCCACATTTTGTGCAACCACCCAAACTCCGGTGATCACAGTGACCGCAGGCCGGCCTTGGCAGATCAAAGCAATATATATATATATTAGAAATTACTTCAAATAGGACTAAAACTATGGAAAAAACTCAAAATAGGACTTTCTATGTTTTTATTCCAAAATAGGACCATAGTGGTCCTATTGGAAACATACTCATTTCTTCCTTCCATTCTTACCCCTCCTATAAATATTAGTAAAAGATAGCTAAAAGTCATAATTAAATGTTTAATTCATAATAAATTCGAAAAAATTTCAATAATTCATAGAAAAATAATAAAAAAATTAATAAAATTTTTATAAAATAAAAAATAAGAATTTTTTTTAAATTAATAAAAATAGTAAAACTCCATAAAAAAATTAAAAAAAATATGGATACCTTTCCCACCGCCTGTACTACCTCCCTGAACCACCACCTCCGATCGGTGTAAAAAAATGCCACTTTTTTTTTAAATTCCACAAAAATGACATAGTATTTCTCTATGGAAATGCCAACATTTTCATTCTGTCAACTTGAATCCTTTTGACTTTTGCCAAAATATGACATTCATAATTTTTTTGGCATTTTTTTACCCCGGTGACAGGAGGTGGTGGTACCGCTTCCCTGCACCACCACCTCCGATCGTTAAAAAAATGCCATATTTCCTACAAACTTCCATTTTTTCGGAAAATGCCAAAAATATGGCATATTTCTCTTTGACAATGCCAACATTTTTTCTGCCATCTTAAATCATTCTGAATTATGCCAAAAATATGGAATTCATAATAATTTTTGCATTTCCCCCCCAAATGACTAGAGGTGGTGGTGCTGGGGTGGCAGAGGCGGAGGTGACAAATTTTTTTTTTTGATTTTTTTATTATTTTTATAATTTTTTTATTTTTTATTTTTAATTTTTTTAATTTATTATTATTCAAAATATTTTTATTAATTTTTTTGGTATATTTTACGAATTTTATTATTTTTTATTATTTTATTATGAATTAAAACATTCCAATAGGTATAAGGGTATATTTGTCCAAGACACACATAATTAATCATATGGAAACATAGTTTATTTTTTGGTCCTATTTGTGCAAAGTGAATCACTTTTAGTCCTATTTTGATAATTAACTATATATATATATATATATACGTAGTATGAAATAGAAAAAAGCGATGGATCAATGAATCATACATAGTAGTACATATTTATTGTTTTTAAAAGCTTGATTTGGCTTAATGTGAATTGTGAAGCAGAAGTACCTAAGGGCCCGTTTGGTATGATGTAAAGTAAACACTTTGCGTGTAAAGTGAGGGGATGTGAACATTTTACACCGTTTGTTTTGAATATTTGGTGTAAACTGTAGGGTACTTTTTAAAAAACATTTTACACTGTACCGTGTAAAATATTTTACGTGGGAGGAGGGTAGTAAACTACTTTACACTCATTAATACCGAGAGAACTTCTTTTACAATTCAAGAAGTTTTTACGATTGTAATTAGCTGATGGCAGCAAAAGAAAATTTTGGCTGCTAAAAGCAGATTTCCCCTCCTATTTAAGAACACAAAATCGTGAAGCAAATCACCACTACCTATCTTGCTGATCTGTGTTGCCCTACTCGATCTGCTCCTTCGAATAATTGAAGAGCTAAGCAGCTTCTGGTTTTCTTTTTTTTTTTAAAAATTTATCACCATGATTCCATGTTGGATCTGATCTCTACCTTGTTTTTCAATTTTTTTTAAACTACGTAATTCACCGCATGCTGCTTGAGAATATCAGTAGAAAGGTTTGTAGAACTTGCTATCTTAATACATTTGTGTGATTGAGAATGTAAGCATAAAAGCAGATTGTAAGCAACTAGCATCAACTAGCAGCAATCGGCTATGTATATGATCCGTTTGTTAATACGGATTATTTTATTATTTTCCAAACAAACATTTTAAAGAGTTTGCGTGTAATTTAATAATAGATTACATAGATAGCCAAACGGTGTATTTTTAATTTACACGTAAACTGATTAGAGTCCTACACTTTACATGCAAAGTGATTGCATGTAAAGTTTTAATGAGTAAACAACCAAACGAGCCCTAAGAGGAAAAACCGGATTAAAAAGCAATTGATGCCAGTAGTAAATGGATCGGAGAAGAAAGTTTTCTCCACTACGATGCTTAAAAAACCGAAGAAGAATAGTGACGCACGAAGAGGAGACATCCTGGCAAAATAGGTATATCAACGAAATTTCCAAACGGCCAAACGTAAACGCTATGGTTTTCAGCATTTTCAGTTTTGGCTGTTTTGGATAAAAAACCAAGTCAAAAAGCCAACTAACCAAACACATCAATTAACTATTTATTTGGTCAAACAGCTAAATAGTAGTCAAATCAGCCAAAAAATGGCTGATAGGCCGTTAACCAAACACCCTCTATGCCTCCTATTTGTTTGGTACTACGTTTAATTTTAAGTTTTTACTAATAACTCCAATTATGTTTTAGTTTTTGCTAGGTATGTTATAGTTTCTAACTATTTTTTTTAACTTTTCGTATATTCCTTCTATTTTTATTGTAAATTCGGTAAAAATAAATTCAATAAAAATAGTTTATAGTTTCTACCTTTTTGTAATATATAATAATAAAATGAAATAAGCAAGGTATTTTTATTGAAATGATCTTGCTTGATGCATACATTTTTCGTTACTTAACACATGCAAAATAAATTCATTATCGACTTGGCATGCTTGATTATTGTTGGTGCTATATTATTTTTGCATGTCACGTTTTATTTCTTGTACATGTTTTCCTTGTACGTACACCACATGTTTGTAGGACGTAGGAGTCTAGTTTGTTATGTAATCTACTGTAGCCATTTATTTTTCCTAATCTTTAGCGCTAGCTTAGGCGGTGGATTTTATCTCCACGCTACTCCAATTGTATATAGCCGCTGGATCTTATTCAAGGATCACACGGAATTTTGATAATACAAAATAAATTCCTCCAGTAGCTTTTCTACATGGTATCAGAGCAGTGACGATCCTAGGCGGACTCACTCACGAAATAATCAAGCTAAGCAACATGGCCGGAGAAGCGGGAGGAAACGGTGTTGACGAAAACCGAAGCAATGAACGACGACGGATCAATGATCCATCTACCTCATTTTATTTGTCAAGCTCGGATTTTCCGGGTATGAATATTTGTGGACAAAGAAGACAAGGCGGAACCGGCCACAGACGTGGGCGTGTGACAGTGCAAGCCATGCCGCAGGTAAAGGGAAATCTTGAAGACTTCACTGGAGTGCGTGAGGCAAAAAATCCTCCCACGCAGAAGCCCAATCTAACGGATGAACAGTGGCAGACTTTATTCAATCTCATGGAAAATTGTAAGCCTACCTCACCATGGCTTACAAACTCACGGATATGAAAACTGAAACTCAATGGCTCCTCGATTCCGGCGCCTCCTACCACATGACCGGAAATAATAAAGTTTTGAAGACAACATGCAAAATTACTCCTATTTCGGTACAATTGCCGAATGGCGAGTTCACCCGAGCGACTCACGTTGGAGAAGTGTGGCTAAGTGCACGGTTGAAACTGGAAAACGTGTTGCTAGTACCTGGATTGCAATGCAATCTTATTTCTTTAGCACAACTAATAGATCAACGAAAATGTGATATATTTTTTACTAATGATATATGTGTGATACAGGATCTACTTACAAGGATGCCGATTGGAGTGGGTGATCGACGAGGGGGAGTTTATTATTTTCGGAGTCTTGATCAAGCTAAGACACATGCAGTGGGGACGCCGGACTCAGGTGACTTGTGGCATTCTCGATTGGGACATCCATCAGTGAAAGTATTAAATTTGCTTAATTGTTCGGATAAATCATTGTTGAAGTCTGTTCCGAATAACACTTGTGATGCTTGTTTACGTGGTAAACAAACTCGTGATACTTTTGATGCTAGTTATGCGCGTGCTATTGAACCTTTTGAATTAATACATTGTGATGTTTGGGGACCGTATCGGACGCCAGCCACAGGCGGTTCACGTTATTTCTTAACTATCGTTGATGATTATTCCAGAGCTGTGTGGGTGCATCTTATGCGAGAGAAAAGTGAGGTCAAAAATATTCTTAAACATTTTTTTGCCATGACCTCTCGTCAATTTAATAAAAAATGTGAAAGTTTTCAGAAGTGACAACGGCAAAGAATTTACTAGTTTACGGGAATATTTTTTGACCCTTGGAATAATTTTCCAAACGACTTGTGTTTATACTCCACAACAAAATGGTAGGGTCGAGAGGAAGCATCGGCATATACTAGAGATGGCATGAACCCTTCGCTTTCATGCAAACTTGCCAATTGAATTTTGGGGAGAATGTGTGCTAGCCGCGGGATATTTAATTAACAGATTGCCATCTCCTGTGATAGACAATAAAAGTCCCTATGAACTATTGTATAACAAAAAACCCTTGTATACTCATCCTAGGGTATTTGGGTGTTTATGTTATGCACATTCTAAAGATATATCTGGTGACAAGTTTGCACCACGTGGGGTGAAATGTGTGTTTCTGGGTTACGCTTACGCACAAAAGGGCTGGAAAGTGTATGATTTGGACAACCAACGACATTTTATTTCCCGTGATGTGAAATTTATTGAAACAATTTTTCCATTTAAAGTGGAGGAAAAAGACTAGTTGTGAATCATCTTTGATACATGGGAAGAAGGTATTTACTGGAAATGAGAAGCAGGATTTGGAGTCACATGTACGTATGTATGGCATGGATGATACACCGCCCACTCAGGCCACGTGGGAGGACAATTCTTCTACACATGCAGGCATGGCCACGGAGGAAGAACATGACCACATACCCATGCAAGGCAATAACTCTGCTTCTTTATCTTCGGCGACGGATGCACATGATGATGGTCCCACTGGAAGCACTTCCCGTCAGTCTCCTGCAGTCCAACCAAGTCGAAGAAGTGAACGTGAGCGGAGGCAACCAATCTGGCATCGAGATTATGATGTGCAAATGAATACCATGAAAATAAACTCCTCCCCCGTCTTTCACTCACACCCGCCGGTTGACTCAGGTAATCCGTATTCCATATCTCATTATGTAAATTATAATCAATTTTCAGTGCCGCACCGAGCTTTTCTTGCAGCTCTTTCGACCGCTAAAGAGCCGTCCAGTTGTAGGGAAGCCGTACGTGATCCGCAGTGGAGAGAAGCCATGAGCCGGGAGATTACGGCTCTAGAACGCACAGGTACTTGGAGGGTTCAAGACTTGCCGTACGGAAGGAAAGCCATCTTCTGCAAATGGGTGTTCAAAATTAAGTATAAAAGTGATGGCTCGGTGGAACGCTATAAGGCACGATTGGTGGTGTGTGGCAACAGATAAGTACAAGGCATTGACTATAGCGAAACTTTCGCACCGGTTGCTAAAATGGTAACTGTTCGTACCATTTTAGCCGTAGCTGCATCATGTCACTGCGAACTTCATCAAATGGACGTCGACAATGCATTTCTTCATGGGGATTTACATGAAGAAGTCTATATGCATTTACCTCCCGGATATTCAGCGTCATCCCCCGGTAAGGTATGTCGCTTGCTTAGATCACTTTATGGGTTGCGACAGGCTCCCCGTTGCTGGTTTTCTAAGCTCACCACGTCCTTGCGAAAATATGGTTTCAGTCAGTCACATTCAGATTATTCTTTATTTACGTTACGACATAAAAGTCACATTCTGTGTGTGTTGATTTATGTGGATGATCTGCTTATTACTGGTAATGATCATGATATGATTGTGGCATTTAAAACATTTCTAGCGGCTTCTTTTCCAGTCAAAGATTTGGGCATCATGAAATATTTTCTGGGAATAGAAGTAGCAAGAAATTCCACCGAAATTTTTTTATGTCAACGAAAATATGTGTTGGATATTTTGGCAGAAACAGGTTTAAGCGGGGCCAAACCTGTCTCTTTTCCTATGGTACAAAATCACAAGTTACAATCGGATACTAGCCCCAATTTTTCTGAACCCGACCGCTATAGGCGATTGGTTGGAAAACTCATTTATCTTACCTTGACACGGCCAGATATTAACTACTCCGTTCATATTCTTTCTCAGTTTATGCAATGTCCGAAGGTGGCACATTGGGATGCTGTTTTGCGTGTTCGACGCTATCTTAAAGGCCATCTTGGACAAGGCATTTTATTGAAGTCCGATTCGGCTCTCACTTTGACTGGTTATTGTGATGCGGATTGGGCTAGCTGTCTACTTACTCTTCGCTCTGTGACTGGTTATTTTGTCCGTCTCGGACAGTCCCCCATCTCCTGGCGCACCAAGAAACAGGCTACTGTCTCTCGTTCGTCGGCAGAAGCCGAATACCGGTCTATGGCCGCATTAACTTGTGAACTCATCTGGCTACGGAATTTGCTACAGTGCTTTGGCGTCACACATTCTTCTCCCGTGCATCTTTACTGTGATAATCAGGCAGCTCTGCATATTGCTTCAAATCCTGTTTATCATGAGCGGACCAAGCATATTGAACTTGATTGTCATTTCATTCGGGATCATATTCAAGCCGGCACTATCACTCCCGCTTATACATCGACTACTGAGCAACCTGCTGATTTGTTGACCAAAGCACTTGGAGCATCTCAATTTTCTTATTTGCTAGCCAAGATGGGCATTTGTGATCCTCATGCTCCATCTTGAGGGGGGGTGTTGGTGCTATATTATTTTTGCATGTCACGTTTTATTTCTTGTACATGTTTTCCTTGTACGTACACATGTTTGTAGGACGTAGGAGTCTAGTTTGTTATGTAATCTACTGTAGCCATTTATTTTTCCTAATCTTTAGCGCTAGCTTAGGCGGTGGATTTTATCTCCACGCTACTCCAATTGTATATAGCCGCTGGATCTTATTCAAGGATCACACGGAATTTTGATAATACAAAATAAATTCCTCCAGTAGCTTTTCTACAATTATAAAGAGTCTTACAACCTAATTAAATATTAGTATCAAATTTTTGGCACTCCAATTTTTTTATCCTTAAAAGTCATTTAACAAGTTATCAACGGTTTGTAAACAGTCATTTAACCAAACAGTCAAACACTAATTTACAGACAGCTAATTCAACCAGCTAATCAAAACAGCCAATAGAATCTGCAGTCATTAATCAACTAACAGCCAACTGTCAATTGTCAAACACCCCTAAATGTAGCAGCTGAAAAAAGCCCTTATAGGCGTCATGACCTACACGTGTCGAATGTGCAATCGCAAATTATACCGTGGGATCGGTGTATCAAGAGGATGGTGCACCCATCCCAAAATGACACAGTATTACTCGGTATTAATTAGAAAAGCAACTGTGCAGCCGTTGTTATTAGGCCAGATTAAAGAGACTGCGTGCGTTCCGTCTTGAGAGAGAGTATCGGAAGTTGGCCATGACACTCGCCGGCGAGGAAGTAACGGCGGTGCAACTGCTCGTCCTCAAGGCGGCGGCACGGCAGCGGCGGCGCTCAGCCTTGATCGCTGATTTGAATCGTCAATCTTGTCCCGGCAGTCTATCAAAGCCATGCTCTGTTCCCATAAACTTCTGAGCATGATTTTTTTTGTGCGCACTTCGAATTGACAATTTATTAAGCGGCTCGATTTGTGTCTTGCGAGATAACAGCGAAACAGAGACTCGATTTGTGGGTACACTTCATCTAATACTCAAAAAGAAGAAGCTGGGAACTCATTGGAACTTTGTTCAGAGCCTAGAAGCTGGGAACTCATTGGAACTTTATTCAGAGCCTCAGATTAACTTTTAAGAATTGGAATTTTTCTTACACAATTGACTATCATGAATTATTTTAGACATTCTCAATTTACATCTTCAACACGCTCAAGTTACATCAAAATTTGCTTAAAGTTACATATCTATAAGTGTGAGTTACATGTCAACTGTCATCAGCAAGTTACATCATGTTTACATATGATTTACATTTTTCATAATACGAGTTACACCACAATATAATGTGAGTTACACAACTCAATAAACCTCTGCTACTCAAAGAAGAACTAATTTTATAAAAAATCATTTTTGTAGCCTTGATATATTAGAAACAAAACATATACACTATTTTTGTAAAATAATTAAACAATTAGACTTCTTTTTTATCAGTTTTTACATTTAAATCAAAGTTTACTTCTTATACTATGTATTTGACAAAGTTACATTTCGACTGGACTTGAGTTACATTGATCAATAACGTTAGTTACATATCTTTACACGTGAGTTACATCATTCATGCTACTCGGACAAAAAGAAGGAAATAACAGTTACTGTACACGCGTGTACTGTTCACGCGTGTACTGTTCACATGATTTTTTTTAATTGTGCAAAGCGACGTCGTTTTGGAAGTGGGAGCATGGTGCTCACCATGGGAACATGACCAAGCTGTGTCGGTTATGTGGATAGACACCAGCCAAATACATACATATAAATAATAATTGATGAAAATACCTCGTAAAAGAACCTTGCATTATATTATGATTTATGTATAATAATATACAGTGATTAATTTGATTAATACAGTGTATTATGATGTACAACATTTATTTAATAAATGTAATACTTTCTTCATTCTTTTCTTTAATGGTAACGTTTCATTTTCATGTTTGTCAATGTCTAACTTTGTTCACTAATACATTTCATTCCCTATTAATTAATAAAAAAATTAAAAAATAAGATTTTGAAATATTGTGTTGAAATGAATTTAATACGGAGTAATATTTATGCTAATAAATTGCTAATAAATGCAATACAATGAAAGTAGAGTATGCGAGTAATGTAAAATTAAACATGTTGCAATTATTTATGAACATAAGTAATATAAAATGCTACCTTAGTCTTCTTTTATTTAGTCATCTTTGACTTTTGCATTCAAAGATGGTAAACTTTGATCCACTATTTTAATTAAATATTTATGTGAA